TTCTATTCTATTCTATTCTATTCTATTCTATTCTATTCTATTCTATTATTCCATTCTATTCTATTCTAAATTCAATTCAATTCTATTCTGTTCTATTCTAATTTCTATTCTATTCTTTCTATTCCTATTATACCTTGACGAACGTATCTTTTATGTACCCTGAGAGCATTTGGACGAAGACAAATTCCTTGTGTGTCCAATCATACTTGGCCAATAAAGAATTGAATTCTATTCTATTCTATTCTATTCCATTCTATTCTATTCTTCATCCAATATCTGTTCTATTCTATTCTATTCTATTCTATTCTATTCTATTCTATTCTATTCTATTCTATTCTATTCATCCATTCTATTCTAAATTCAATTAAATTCTATTCTGTTCTATTCTAATTTCTATTCTAATTTCTATTCTATTCTATTCCCACTGTACCTTGACGAACGTATCTTTTCTTTTATGTACCCTGAGAACATTTGCACTAAGACAAATTCCTTGTGTGTCCAACCACGCTTCGCCAATAAAGAATTCTATTCTATTTTATTTTGTGATGAGGCGTGAGTGGTCTTTCGCTTTTATATAGATAGATACAGGTCGTCCTCAACTTACAGCAGTTCATTTCGTGACTGTTCAAAGTTACAACCCTTATGACTGTTGCAGCATCCCCCATAGTCATGTGATCAAGGTTCAGATCCTTCGTATTTATGACGGTTCCAGTGTCCCCGGGGGAGTGTGTCATGTGATCCCCTTTTGCGAGCTTCTGTCAAGTGAAGTCATTGGGGAAGCCAGATTTATTCAACAACTGTGTTACTCACTGAACAACCGCAGTGATTCTCTGTCTTCTAAGTGCTTTGACAAACACCCTACACCAGCCCTTCTTTGTGGCAACCGCAAAATATCTTAACGCTGCTATCATGTCACCCCGGTCCTTCTTTTCATTTCCAGCTTGGCCGCCTGAACCGGCGCAGGTGATGGGCCCTCTGAATGGGAGGCACACATGCGCACACTACGCCATTCGTATGAGCAGTGTGTGTGCCTTCCACTCACGCAAATGGAGCTTCACATGAGAGAGGTGGGGGGGGTTGCGGGAGCAGAGCGTAGTTGCGGGAATGGAGTGTGGTTGTGTGAGAGCAGAGGGAGTGGGCCATGGACCAGGGGACGGGGACCCCAGACTTAAGAGCAGTGGTCGCCAACCAGCGGGCCGGGGACCACTGGGGGTCCGCGAGAAAAATTTAGCGGCCTGCAGAGAAATGTCCCCCCCAAAGCAATTAATCCAGGCGGGGCGGGAACACAAGGCTGCGCCGCCCACATGGACCGTGGGAACACAAGCCTTGCGTCATTCGCATTGCGAACAACACAAGGTAGTGAAGGGAAGGGGGAAAGGGCGGAGGGGGGGACTTGCCCCACTCGCCCCACACGCCTGGCCTGGCCACTGGGCTGCTTCTTTCTGCTTCTTTCTTCTTCTGCTGTTGGCTGCACGTAAGGAAAGCAGCCAAAGTCTTTCTTTCTCTCCCGCAAACTCCGCCAGAAAGGAGTCTTTGGGACCCTGCAAGGCCTCCTGCTCCAAGAGGCTGCGCCGGCAAAGACTCATTTCTGGCGAAGTTTGGGGGGGAGAGAAAGAAAGGCTTCTGCTGCTTCTGCTGTTTTTCTTGCATGAAGCCAAAAGTCTCTCTCTTTCTCTCTCTCTCTCTCCCCCTGAGAATGGAGCTGGAGAAAAATATCCTGCGATCCCAAATACAGAACGATCGATTGGTAGGAAAACAGAGTGGCAAATTTTCCTGTAGGCTTTTTGGGGGGGGGGGGATTTTCCCAGGGTCTCTGCTCCGCGGGATTTAAAATAATGAGTTTGGTGGTCCCTTGAGGTCCACAAGGTTGGCGACCCCCTGACTTTAGACAACACAATTGAGAGAAATGACCCTACCGCGGTTCTCTGCGCAAGAAGGAAGCCAGTCCGTGAAAAGAGAGATAACGTTTTTGTGCTGAGCTCAGGTACAGAGCTCGCACACGGAAGATCTGATAGCCGCCCGGTTAATGTTTCACCGAGCAGATAAGAATATTTTATCATAATTCCTACTTTCTTTCCCTCGCCCCCGCGAACAATCAGCCATAAAAAGTGAGCAAAAAGTGACACATTTATGGCCCAGAACCTATTATGAGCTCAGCTGATACAGCTTAGCTCACCTGTTCTGTTCGTCACCTGGCTATTTCCCCTGTTTTAACTCTTCCGCACACCCCTGTGTGCCTCGCACGAGTTTGCCACCGACCGGCACACTTATAAGAGTCTCTGGTGCACGTCATCGTGGGGCTGACTGGGTTTCACTACAGGCAGCCCGGTTCATTGAGCGTCCGTTCACAGTTACGACGGCACTGAACAACGTGACTTGGGACAGGTTTTTCCAAGTTAGGACCTCTGCAAGCATCCCTGTGATCGTGGGATTCAAATTCGGATGCTTGGAAACGGGTTCATGTTTGTGACCTGTTGCTGTGTCCCTGGGATCACGTGATCCCCTTTGGCGACCTTCTGACCAGCTATGATGGACATGAAGGCGAACCTATGACCTGCGTGCCACAGGTGGCACACAGAGCCATTGGTGCGGGCGTACGAGCCCCAGTCAAACTTAACTGCGCTGTGCATGCGCGTGCCTCCCAGCTGACTTTTGGCCCCCGTTGAGGCCTTTTTTGGCCTCCCGGAGGCTCGAGGGAAGCCTCTGCGGCCTCGGGAAGCCTCTGCGGCCTCGGGAAGCCAAAAAACGGGCCTTCCGGAAATACCAGAAGTGAC